CTCCTGGACACCTCCAAGCCCAGCACAAGCAGCAGCCAACTACGGTTTGCTGTGCAGCTCATGCTGAGTGGCCCTGGGCAAGGCACTGGCAGAGGCTGACTTTGCACCTCCTGGGAGGCCCAGAGACAGTGCACCTGGTGCTCAGACTCGGCCATGTTGGGTTACAACCCTGCCACATCCATGGCTGACACACTCAAGAGGCGTACTTGGTGATCACCAAAGCTCCACTAAGTAAGTCCTGCTCCATAGGGGTGTCTCCAGCACAGCAGCTCTTTGGCTGTAGTTGCAGCTGGTCATCACAGCTGATTGGCCTGGGGGTCAATTTCTCCCAGTGATGCCAACAGCAATCAAGGCTCAACTACAACAGGACAGTGCACACAGCCCACACAGGGGAGCACCTAGAAGGCCCAGCTCAGGTGACTGGGGAGGCTGAGCCACTGGACCCTACAGGACACCTACTACACAAAGCCACTGTACAAATTCCAGGAGACATAGCAGCTCTACCTAATAGATAGAAGCAAACACCTGGAAACACCCAAAATGTGGAGGCAAAAAAACATGTCACAAAGGAAAAGACAGAAGAAATCTCCAGAAAAGGAACTAAATGAAATAGAACCAAGCAAGCTAACAGATACAGAGTTCAGAATTTTGGTTATATAGATGCTCAAGGATATTAGTAAGATTATTACAAAATCAAGTGAGACCATCGATGCCTAATAAAATACCTATCAGAAATGAAGGCTACATGAACTGAAATGAAGAATAATTTACAGGAAATCAACAGAGTAGAGGACGCTACTCAGCAATTTGGAAAATGAGGAAACAAAAAGCACCCAACCAGAAGAGCAAAAAGAAAAAAGAATCCAGAAATATGAAGATAGTGTAGGGAGTCTCTGGGACAACTTCAAGCGGCCCAATATTTGTATTATTGGGGTCCCAGGAAGAGAAGAAAGAGAACAAGAAATTGAAAATCTATTTGAAAATAATTACAGAAAACTTCCCCTACCTGGGGAAAGAAATAGACTTACAAGTCCAGGAAGCACAGAGAATCCCAAACAAGAGGAACCCAAAGAAGCTCAAAGAAAGACACATCATAATTCAAATGCCTAAGGTTAAAGACAAAGAGAGAATCTTAAAAGCAACAAGGAAAAGCAGTTAGTTACCTACAAGGGAGCACCCATACAACTGTCAGTTGATTTCTCAACAGAAACCTTGCAGGCCAGAAGGGATTGGCAAGAAATATTCAAAGTGATGAAAAGCAAGAACCTACAACCAAGATTACTCTACCCAGCAAAGCTATCATTTAGAATTGAAGGTCAGATAAAGAGCTTCTCAGACAAGGAAAAACTAAAGGAGTTCATCACCACCAGACCAGTACTATGTGAAATGTTGAAGGGTCTTCTTTAAGAAGCTAATGAACAAAAGAATCTGACTAAGTGGATCCAGAGACATTGATGCATGCAACAGATGATCATATTTCAGAAGGAAGAGGGAAGGGGGGTGGAGGGTGGGAGGAGATTGACCAAAGAAGTTATATGCATATATGCATAACCCATGGACATAGACAATGATGGGGTGAAGGCCTGGGGAGGGGGTGGGAGCGAGGTGGAGGGGGTCAATTGGGGGGAAAATGGAACACCTGTAGTGCTTTCAACAATAAAGATAAAAGAAAAGAAAAGAAAAATAATAATAATAAAAATAACTTCTCTTCATTTACCCGCAGCACCTGATTACACCCACCAAAGCCCCTCTGCAGCTCTGGGAGGTTGCAGGGCAAGGAGGCCAGCCCCTACCCAGTCAGGAGGCCCAGCCTGGGAGATCCACCCAGGGAGTGAAGCAGACCCAGTCCTCCTCCCAGTCCCTGCTGTTCCTCAGACCAGCCTGGCCAGGGGACTCTGGTTGGAGGAGGGAGAGGGAGGGCAGAGCAGGTGTGCTTCTTGCCCTTCATGCCTTTTCTGACCTCTTTCTCCTCAGGACAGCACCGGAACAAGGAGTTCTTACCAGTTAATAGTCTGCAGAGGGTTCCTGTCCTCAAGGATGGTGACTTTGTCTTGAGCGAAAGGTACTCTCCTTCCCATCCACCTCCTAAGCTCTGGGCCCACTGGGCCCTGCTCCCTCACTGCAGGTCCTCCCAGACCCCACAAGCACTGAGGGCCAAGGTGAAGGGTGCAATGAGAGCAGATGGCCTGGAGTGAGCCCAGGGTGACCAGGGGCTGACGCAGCACGCCACTGCACCTCTCTTGTCTTCAGACTCTTCTCCCTGGACCTCTCTACCCCCATCAACTGTGGACAGAGATGAGGCTCAACAAATGCAAGCCAAAAGGGCCTCTCCTGACTTCAGGCTACTCCCCCAGGGCCTGAGGGCATAGCTCGCTGTGAGGGCCAGCACCGGGCAGGGAGAGGACACAAGGTCAGGCACTATAAGAATGATGGCCAAGAGGCCTGTCAGGGGGACCTATAACAGATCTGAGCACATGCTTCCCTTCTTGGTACCTGACCCATGCACTCAAACATGTGAGGGGCTTGATCAAGTACTCACCGTGTGCCAGCCCCATGCAGGGTTCCAGAGGTCCTGGGAGCCTTTTCTGAGTTGTGCAGCCTCGGACAAATCACTTAACTATTCTGATCCTTAGTTTCCTCATGTGTAAAAGAGCTAACAAGAGTCTCCACCTCATAGGGCAGCTGCTGGACTATCACAGAGATGAGGTTCTTATAGTACAAAACAAATGGTCGGACCAAGAGTCAGTGCCCAAGACAGAGAAGAAAGAAGACTCAGGAGGGTAGTCAGGAGAGAGAGAGGGGAGGCAGTGCCCAGGGAGGGGCAGGAGGATAGGAGGGGAGGCCATCAAGTGCAGAAAAGCCCCAGGGTCCCATTGGGGGATGGGAGCAGCTGGGGATAAAGGCCACAGGTCAGGGTCTTCCCAGCCATTGCTCTTGCCTCTGTCCCCAGCGTGGCCATCCTGATTTACCTGAGCTGTAAGTACCAGACGGCGGACCACTGGTACCCATCTGACCTGCAGGCCCGCATGCGTATCCATGAGTACCTGGGCTGGCATGCTGACCGTATCCGTAGCACCTTTGGTGTGTCCCTGTGGGCCCAGGTGAGGAGAGGCATCTGGGGAGTGGTTGACTGTCAGGGACCTGGGAGGAGGCAGGGGCCATAGACTGAGCCTACACTTTGCCTCTGTCAGGTGCTGGCACCGCTCATTGGGGTTCAGCTGCCAGAGGAGAAGTTGAAGCGCAATAGGACCGCTGTGGACCAGGCGCTGCAGCACCTGGAGGACAAGTTCCTGGGGGACAAGGCCTTCCTCACTAGTCAGCAGGTGACGCTGGCTGACCTCATGGCACTGGAGGAGCTGATGCAGGTATTAGCTGGTGGAGTGGCATTTGTGGGCAGCATCCCTCTATAGCCACCTGCATTAGACAGCAGGGCTGAGGCCTACAGAAAGTTAGGACTTTGCCCAGCATCACAGAGCAAGTTTCTGGCTGAACTGGTACTGGAGCCATTACCTGTTGCTTCCCTCCTGAGTGGGATTTCATCCTGGTGCTCTTGGGCCCTGAGTTGGCATACTGCCATGGGCCTCACATGGAGGTTGGGAAAGGGACCTGACACCTGTGCCAGTGCTCCTGGCATTGGAACCTCCATATCCTACCAACTTTCCCATCCTTGTCCCCACAGTGCGTGGCTGTTGGCTATGATGTGTTTGCAGGACGGCCACGACTGGCTGCATGGCATAAGCGCGTGAAGGCTTTCCTGGGTACTGATCTGTGGCAGGAGACACATGAGTACATCTTGAACATCCTGGAACTGGCGGCCAACAAAAAACTCCCGCAGCCTTCCCCTGAAGCCTATGCAAATATGATGCTTCGTATTTCCAGGATCCCCTGAGGGATCTGGGTTAAGGCTGATTGGGGGTCAGAAGATTAACAATATCCCTTCTGTTTCTTACTTGTCCCTTTTCATCTTTTTCATCGTGTTTTTCAGTCTCTTGTCTCTGACTCCAGGAGGAGCTCTGCACAGGGAGGACAGTGACTGTCCTTGGCAGTGTTTCTCCTCAGGTGTAGCAGACATAATCAATAGAAGATTAAAACCCACCATATGTATAGAAAGAGCTCCTAAAATTCAATAACATGAAGAAAAACAAAGGAAGTAAAAATCAGCAAATGTTATTGGTCTTTTCAATATAATGAAGATTCTGAACACTTTGATAAGAAACCAAGAATTCTTGCTTTTATTACATTGTTGTATTATATGTATGGAGTAAAATGTGTACCAGGAAACTTCATCATAGTTAACCAAAGTGACTTACTGTGTCATGCTGACAGCTTCTATGGTGTCAGTGGCTTGGCCTTTTCTCCCAGCCCCTAGCCAGGCTGGGTTATGTGCTGTCCCGGGAACCAAGCCACAGGGCCTGCAAGTATGTGTGTTTGTTTGTGTGTGTGTCAGATGGTGTCCCCCAAAGCCCTGTCCCCTGGCAGGCTTCAGTTCCTGTGAAAAGAGTGGGAAAGCATCATGGCCCCTTGCACAGGTCAGGAAGGCAAGAGAATGGCTCCAATCTCCTTGGGTCCCAGAATGGGGCCAGGGCATCTTCCTGAGAAGCCTTGGCTCTGTCCCTAGGAGGGCCAGGGCCACTTCAGTTTGCTACCCACTCCATGACCCACCTATCAACCAGTATAGGCCAGTGTGGATGCCAAGCCATGGCTGTCCTCTGGGTCCATGGTGGCCCTGTCTATAGTGCAATCCTCAGCATCCCAAACCTGGGTCCTCACAGAGAGAAGCACATAGGGCAGCCCAAGAAGAAGGCCTGTGAGGGCTGAGAGGCAAGCCAGCGGGGCTGGGGAGTGCAGCACCCTGGGTGAGGGGGCACTCTAGCTGTGGGACGGTGCTGCACAGGGAGCATGGGATCAGACTTGGACTATAGAAAACCCCTCTTTTGCTGTGTGGACCAGGACCAAGGGCCCAGAGTGGAGGCAGAGCAGCTGGCCTGGAAGCTGGTGAGTTTGGCCAGGTCATGCAGAGGCATGGTTGGGGGGTAAGAGATGCAGGATGTAGAGCGAGAGCATGACAGCAGTTGTCGATATAGGGGTGGGGTTGGGATGAAGAAGAGGAAAGACTCCTAAGTGTCTGGCCTGAGTCCCAGGGGGTGGGGGGTGCACACCTGAGGTGAGGAGCTCTGAAGGAGGGCAGTTGAGAGGGCAGGACAGTTAGTGTGGACAGAGGCAAGGCCTGGGCTGGGGGTGGGTGGTATATATGTGTATGTGTGTGTGAGACACAGTGGGAGGGAAGACACAGAAGACCTTAAAGACCTGAACTTTGTGCCCACCAGCTCCTCCCAGCCTGCCTGCCTGTGTCTCCACTACTTGAAAGAAGATTGTGAAAGCCACCCTGGCTGTCCCAACCAAAGATCAGGACAATGCAGGAGGGCAGGTGTTCGGCCCCATCTAGAGGGAGGGAGCAAGAGGTGGGAGTGTCCACGGGCCCTATGGAAGAGGAAGAGGGCCAGGCTGGGGACCCTGCTTTTGCAAAACCCAGGACCAAACCCCAGCAGGGGTACACCCAACCTGCTGCCACTCCCTAGAGGCCAGGGTGGATAGCAGCTTGGCAGGCACCCAGCCAGTTGTGAAGAAGTAGGCTGTAGGCAAGGGCACAGACTACAGGCCCATTGAGAGGCCTAGCAAGCCCCAGGAGGCAGTGCTGAGGGGAGCCCAGGTGAGGCCAGACCCAGGCACAGCGATGGCCTTAGCTCTTTCTGGACCTATACTGGCACCCCTGCCCTGCCATTTACATTTTCCCCAGGAAGAATGGTATATCCCCTTTGAGCTGTAGCCTGTGGAGCTGGCCCTGGATGAGCCCAGGAGCTAGGAAGGCCCCATGGAGGGGCCACCTGGGGCCAGACTCTGCACTAAGCCTCCCCTCTCTGCCTCCCAGGGGAGCACCTGAATCCTCAATTCCTGAAGGTGAACCCCCTGGGGAAGGTGCCTTTCCCTCAGGGATGGGGACTTCCTGCTGGCTGATAGGTGATGGTGATCTGGGATAGCCTGGGCTGAGAACCAGGCTCACCTGGGTCTGGAGCCCATGGTTGGGGGAGGCAGAGAGAGGAAGGGAGAAAGCTGATACCCCTGGCTTGGAGACCTTTCTCTTCTTCCTTTCAGCCTGCCCAGCTTGGAGGGCAGGGGCTGGACCAGGGGACTGCATTGGGGCTAAAGCTGGGAGTTTCAGAGTGGAGAGTAGGCAGAGGCCACCCAGTCAGGCCCAGACAACCTGGAGTGAGGCTTGAGGTGAGTCCCTCCCCAGATGTCTCGAACATGTCCTTTCAGAGTCACAGGAGCCAGGCAGCCCCAGGGTGGCATCCCGCTCCCCAAAACCTCACTCTGCCCCTGGGCAGGTCAGAAAACTTCCTGCCCCAGGTTTCTCCTCTGTAAAATGAGGCTTGCTTGAGACCCTGGGCTTGAGGGAGAACTGGCCCAGGAAAGGAACTTGGAGACCCCTTGGGGAGGGTGTCCTTGGCAGGTCTGCCTTCCTCCCTCTGAGTGGGGAGCCTGATGCCAGAGAGCTGGGCCTGGAGGCAGAGGGCAGGTTGGAGTAGCAGCCAAGAGGGGGGGTTGAAATGGGGCCTAGGGAGGAGCACTTTGGAAGTCGAAGAATGGAGTAGTTTGGTGGGGGGAGATGCCACCTTGAGGAGGGTGTGGAGATGGGGGGGTCTTCCCCTGGAGGTGGAGTTAGAGAGAAACCCCATTAAATCGCAAATCTCCCTGCTTGTGGGACATGGAGCATCCCAGTCCTGGCAGGATGGGTGATCTCTGACACCCCTGTCCTCAGCATGGCCATCCTTTTATACTCGAGATGAAAGTACCAGATGGAAGCACACCAGAGCTGCAGGCCTGTGCCCAAGTCCACAAGTACCTGGCAGGGCAGCACACTGCTATCTAGCTGCCTGCCACCAATATCTACCTGTGCAAGGTGAGCCTACCTGCCCTACTGTGCAGGACTGGGCAGGAGCCAGGACCCCCAGAGCTGGAAGAGAGCAATTGGTCCATATGCTGCTGCCCCTCCACTGCCCTGGGCAAACATTGCTAATCTTTCACAGCACTTTTCTCCCTGAGCCCGAATGAAACCTCAGTATCCTGAATACAGCACCCCAGAGGGCATCACTCATGAATGCTGGCTGGGGAGGAGGGGAGAGGAGGCCCGGGAGCTTGGAGGAGCACAAGATAAGCTGCACTTTCTCTTCCTGGCCCAGTCTCTCCTGCCCCACTTTTCCAGGCAGCTTGTGGACACAACACAGCTGGAGCGGCTGTTGGGGAGGCTGATTCCTGTTCTGCAACACCTGGATCAGGAAGGTCCTGGAGGCCAAATCCATCCTAGCAACTGAGCAGGTCTCCCTGGTGGACCACGCGGCCTTACAGAGCTGATGCAGGTGAGTTTCTCCAGTTTGCTCACCCTCTGGGGGTTACATTGGACTGGGTTGAGCCCTCAGCTCCAGCTACCCTGTCTTCTTAACTCACCGTTGTGGGTTGTGACCTATTCCGAGACGTGGCCGCCTGCATGGAGGCTGCCCTGGGCCCTGAGCTTGTCTAGGAGGCCCACAGGCTTATGCTCCAGCCTCGGGACCCTTCTCAAGAGTTTCCCCAGGACCCCCAGCTGGCCAGGAGCTGGTGCAACAGCTACAGGAGTGGCTCCGCTGAGACAAGTGCTGCCTACTCTCCTGCACCCTGCTATCTGCAATAAACACTCTGTCTCTAGCTTCACTCTGCCCCAGGAAATGGGTCTCCCCATTTCTGAGCAGCCAGGGAATCTCCCAAACCTCACAGCAGAGTGAGGAGCACTCAGTCCTCCACACAATGTCTACATTCTTCAGCCGCCAGGTGCTAAGTTCCAGGTGCATGGCCTGGCCACTGCTGGTCCCAACCCAAGCAGGAAGTTTCTGGGCTCCTCTGCATAGCATGGCCTAGTTAGCCACCCCTTGACTCCTCCGTGGCATTGTCCCCAGTTTATTTTTTATTTTTATTTTTTATTAAATATGTCTTTATTGATTTTAGAGAGAGAGGAAAAGAAGGGGAGAGAGAAAGAGAGAGAAACACCAATCGGTTGCCTCCCCCATGTGTCCTGACTGGGGATCTAACTTGCAACCTGGGTATGTGCCCTGACCAAGAATCGAACCTACAACCTTTTGGTGTACGGGACAATGCTCCACCCAACTGAGCCACACCACCCAGGGCTGTCCCCAATGTTTTAACAGCTCCTGTTTCTCTTTCTCCCAGTCCTTTTCTAGCCACAGTTTAGGCTAGATTGGTCAATGAATATGTCTAATCTCTGCTTCTGGAACCTTCCAGGGTTAGATCTCATTACCCATCCTCCTTCTGGACCCTGCAAAGCCCCTTTGGTCACGTTTCACATTGAAGGCCTGGCCCTGGGAATTCCCTTGAGTAAGCCCTTGTCACACTCTGGCCATGGACGAACACATTAGCCTGAGGGAGGGGAAGGACAGAGTCGCAGCCACTCCCTAGTCCTGTACCCTCTCGCTCCCATTTCTGAGCCAGGGGCCTCCCCTCAGCATACTCCTGGGTCTCCTCAGAATCCTGCTGCTGTGAGAATTCCAGGTTTCATGGACACATGAGAACACCAAGTGAAACAGAAGTTCCAGAATGCGGGCTCCTGGGCCTGGGTTGGACAGGCTGGCGGGCACAGGACCAGGGGCTCAGGCTGCCTATAGGCTCAGGTTCAGGACCTGCTGGCTGTGGCTGGAGGGGGCCCAACAGACATCTCAGCATGGGCCTGGAGCTCTACATGGACCTGCTGTCAGCGCCCTGCCGTGCCGTTTATATCTTTGCCAGGAAGAACTACATCCCCTTTGACTTCCAGTTTGTGGACCTGCTGAAAGGTGATCACCCACTGCTTCTCCGGGCATGCCTGGTTCTAGGAGTAGACAGGGCACAAGGTTGGGGTGTTTCTGAAATGTAGAGACAGAGACCAGGGAGACTATCTCTTCCCAAAGTCCACAGGGGAAGAAAAGGTTTCCAAGGGAATTGTAGGCTGTGCGCCTGTCCAGCCTACCTTCGCTAGTCCCCACTAATTCTGCCCCACTGTGATGAACAGGCTTTTAGAGGGTAAAGTGGGAGAAAGAGCTGCCGAGGGGCCCCTGGGCTCCCACCCAGTGCCCTCACCTTCTCCTTGTGGGAGTCTAGACTCTTGTTAGGTGCAGCATCCGCTGATGAGGTGGGCAAAGGTCACAGAAGTGTCTGGTCATCCCATATCCAAGAGTCCAGATGCTGCTTGGTCTACACCCACCCTCTCCCAGCATTTAAACCTGTTCAGGGTGACATAGACCCTGGTGAGGCTCAGGGCACTGGTCTCCAATGCCCCCCCCCCCACTCCAAGCACAGAGGGGGCTCTAAAAGCTCAACTCGCAGGAGCCTCTAGAACATAGAGGCGGATACACAGGAGCTCCAGAAAAGAATGAGCTATGAGTGGAGCCCCAGAAATGTTTCTAACCAGAGACAGCTGGTCAAGGAAGAGTTAAAACTTCTGCTCCCACACTGGGTTGACTACAAGTGAGAGGCTCTTTTTTGAATTCCAGCTGTTTCCAGCTGTGTGCTAGGGCTGAGGCTACCAGCTGCCAGCTGTGGCTTTAGGCCCCGGAGTTGGGGATGGGACTGGCATCCTCAGCTTCTGTGAGCCAAAGAGTTGTCCTGGTGTCACAGAGCTTGGGACGGGGGCAGGAGCCATGATCCTGATCCTGCACTGCACTGACTTGTCCTCTGACCTGGGGTGCGCCGCGATGTCCTCTGGGCCTCAGTTTCCCCTTTTGAGAAAATGGAGAGAAGGGCATTTCTGCCTCTGGGACACCTGGCTCTCTCTTTCCTGGGGTGTCAGCAGCCTCAGACCCATCCTGCCCCTTTCAGGTCACCACCACAGCAAGGAGTACATTGAAATCAACCCCCTGAGGAAGCTGCCCAGCCTCAAAGACGGAAAATTTATCTTATCTGAAAGGTAGCAATCTTCCTGGGGCCCTTTCTCCAACATTACCACGCTCTCCTTTTTACTCCCATATTTCTGCACATGCTGTTCCCTCTCTGGATGGCCTTTCCTAATGCCATCCACCAACTCCCACTCACCCCGCAGGTCTCCCTTCCGGCCCTCGCTGACTAGTGGACTGATGGCCTTTCCCGGGGCCTTTGGGCTCATTCTTCCCCTGGGAGAATGTCAGTGCCTAGAGTCCACCTGTGGCTGGAAGCTCCACATTGGGTCCAGGCCACATGGGGGGGCGGTCGTCAGCGTAGCAGAGCTGGGGAGAGCAAGAGCAATGCCCTGCCCTTTCTGCAGCGTGGCCATGCTCCTCTACCTGTGCCGCAAGTACAGCGCGCCCTCCTACTGGTACCCGCCAGACCTGCACACGCGCGCCCGCGTGGATGAGTTCATGGCCTGGCAGCACACGGCCATTCGGCTGCCCATGAGCAAGATACTCTGGATCAAGGTGCGTGGGTCACAGCTGGGGCTGACCGCTGGTGAGCTTAAGCAAGTGTCCCTCCGTTGCTGAGCCTCATTTCCTCAGCTCCCTTCCCCGCCTGCCTTACAGAGTTGTTAGGAGTGTGGAGTGAACCACCGGCTATGAAAGCGCCTTGTAAAGGCATGGGGAAGGGCACCCGGGAGGGGCTGATCTCACTCAAACCAGGATAGGACTCAAGAAATTTCATTCTAAACTAGACTATTTCAGAGTCGAAGGGCCCATAGACACCACCAATTTGAAGATGACAAATAACAGTTATGCTTAGCGGTAAGGATATGTTCTGAGAAATTTGTGGTTAGGTGATTTTATTGTTGCGCAAACATCACGGAGTGTGTTGAAACAAACCTAGATGGTGTAGCCTATAGGCTATATGGTACAGCCTATTGCTTCAAGGCTGCAAGCCTGTATAGCATGTTAATGTATGAAATAACATGAGATTAGATCAAGGACAAGAGAAAATGATGCCATCAGGAGATGTGATAAACACAAGATGTTTGAGGCTATTGCGGGCATAACACAGAATACTGTTTTACAGAAAACTTTTTTTTTAATAAGTAGAAAGAATACACTCTAAAAAAATGATAAAAGTATAGTATAGTAAATACATAAACAGAAAGATAGTCATTTATTATCATATATACTGTATATAATTGTACATGATATACTTTTATACAGCTAGCCTCATGGTAGGTTTGTTTACACCAGCATCACCACAAACCCATGAGTAATGGGTTGCACTACATTATGAGAGCCATGAGATCACTAGGCAATAGGAATTTTTCAACTCCATTATAATCTTATGGGGTCACTGTTGTATATGTGGTCCATCATGGTCCATGACTGTAAAAAAAATGTGCCCATACTGCTCATCCTACACTTGTGACAGACATTATGAATCAATCACAGGATTCTTTCTTACTGGGATCTCAAAAGTCTTCCGAACAATGGCCCCAGGTAGCTACCACCAACCAGAACTGCTGAAAGAGGTGAAACCACTTTAAATCCTTGATTCCGTCCAACACCTCTCTAGCAGACAAAGGTACTGAGGCCTGGAGGGTCAGGCCTGAGGCACTAGGGTGCAGCCTCCTCTCCCCTCCTCTCCCCAACCCTGGCCAGCTGCTGATCCCAATGATCACAGGTGAAGAGGTTTCAGCTGAGAAGACAGAGGAGATATTAACAGAGGTGAATCGAAACCTGAAGCTGTTCGAGGAGAAGTTTCTGCAGGACAGGATGTTCATCACTGGGGACAACATCTCACTGGCTGACTTGGTGGCCCTGGTGGAGATGATGCAGGTGTGGAGTTTGGTGGTGAGGAAATGAGTGTAGGCAGGGGTAGGGACTCCTCTGTGATCAGTGGGGCCATAACCTAAGGATAGGTTGGTGAAGAGGGAGACCTAGAGGCTGTGGAAGCCAAGTCTGGGTGGCTGGACTCGATCTGGGACCATAGGAAACAGAAAGTTTTGAACCGGGGAGGATCACGATCCACACTTCACAAAGATTCCTTAGTGTGGGTAGGAGGTAGAGGGTGAGCCTGGGACAGGGAGAAGAACACAGCATTTCTTGGTCAGTCAGCCAGGATCTTGGATGCCTCCACCTCCTGATGGACTCTCTAGGTAGTGTCCAGAAGCCTCCAAAGTGTCCTTCTGGCTGATGTGCTTCTTTTTCAGAGCTTCAGATAATTGTGCAGAGCAGCTCCCCTGCCTCTGGGTCTCAGGGGCATCCACTGTGCATTTGGGGGCATACCTGGGTGTGGGGCATCTATGTAGCTTCTTCATGCAGGGGAGGGTGTGTAGGATGGCCAGTTTAGAACCTGGCTGGCATCTTGCAAGGCCAGCATAATTTCTGGCCAGTTGTAAAGTGGCCATTTTGGTGCACAGTCAGTGTGCAATGCAGATCAGCACCAGGAAAACCCATTGCAGGTTTTCTGTCCCAGGTGGTGTAGCCCCTACGTGTCACCTCCACCCCTTACATTTCTCCCACCCCATCCTCATATGGGCCTCCTGAACATCTTGGGTGCACATTTCTTAGGCTGCCTGCTGGGTCTCCCATTCCAGCCCCTTTGCTTGACCACAGAGGGAGGTTCAAATTGGGGGGGG